TTTTTTTTCCTTTTCTTTCATCTTCTAGTTGAGTTCTGATCATCCAGCCATTGAAGCCAGGACAAGTGGGTATTATCTGAAAGTGTGGGTATTCTTGTACGTATGCCCTCTCTTCTTATCAGCTGGATGCTTCACTCTCCACTCTAGTCCTGTGTGGCTATGTCACTGACACTGGGCCCAAGAGTCCCCAGGTCTTGCCATACTGCTGGCCAACCAGGTCTTCACCGAGGTTCACAGGAGTCTATTGAATGTGGTAGGACTTAGCTCACAGCTTCATTGCTGTTTTCTCTTGCTTCCCGTTATTGGTGACCAACATAGTCACCAGTCAGAGTACATGTCTGCTCCTGTATTCCCATTGAGTCTTAGTCTTGGAAGGGAGTTTGCCCTAAGGGGACCTGTGTAATTTTCGTTTAATGTAGTCTCTTTGTTAGATGTTAATATTAATGTTGTGTTAAAAAATGGCTTATCTCTGTTTAATAGATAAAGGATAATTCAGGTTTTATATTTCATCCTGTGTCAATTTGGCAAGTTGTTTTTATAAAGACTGTTCATTATATCCAAATTGTCAAATTTATTGGAGTCATGATGTTTCTGATGTCATCTTAATACTTTCTAATATTTGTGCAATCTGTAGCATTGCTCTCTCCCCCAATCCTGTTATTGTTAATCTTTGTCTGGTCGTCAGTGTTTCTTGGTCAGTTTTTTTTTGTTATGATGGTGTGCCGTGGGATCAATACTGGCTCTTAGCGACCTGATATGACAGAATAAAACTGCCCCACAGGATTTCCTAGACTGTTGTGGGTTAATGCGCTGGACTGGGAGTTTGCTTTGAACCACAAGGTCAGTAGTTCAGGCTTACCAGCCGCTCCTCGGAAACCCTACATAGGATCACTATGAGAGAGTACCAACTTGAAGGCACTTAACAACAACAACAGCAGTCTGTATGAGGAACTCCTGGTGTGGTGCTGTAAGAATAAGCACTGGACTGCTAGCCACATGGTTGGCAGTTCAAACCTAACAGCTGCTCCTTGGAAATTTTATACATGGTCACTATGAGTCGGAACGAACTCAATGACACCTAACAACAACAACTACCCTTCCTGGTACCAGAAAGAATTCAGGGCAATAGTAAAAGTCACATAAAACACAAATGACACAAGATTAGTCACAAACTTATTTTTAAGCTTTCAAGCAACTAACATGAAAAGAGAAACCCTGTCAGTTGCATAATTCATGAGTGCACATGGTAAAATAAATACGCTATTCAGGAAAAGTACAGTTACTTCCTAATACTAAGATCAGGCAAGAATTTCCCATTTTCTTTATGATGTAGAGTTATTTAAAACTTTTTCCTGCTGGTTTAGAGGTTACTGATTTGCATGGCTAATCCTAATCAGTGTTGGAATGATCTAGAATTTTAATATTCTATTTCACACCCCAAAGGAAAATTATACATTTTAATGTGAGCTGCAAGTAGCTGTTCTTCTACCCTACTTGCAAATGATTATATTCAGAAAAGTAATAAAGAATGTCACTTCCCTTTTCAAAATGCTTGGATACACATTAGAGGCAAGGTTAGGCTGATAAATTAAAATTAAAATTTTGTTTTGCATTTATAATATTAAAAAAGCCACCTTCAGGTGACAGGATTCCGTTACCTTCTGTTTTTCCTTCATAGAAGTTAATTCAAATATTCCTTCCTATCCTAATCAAATATTTATGAAGTTCCTACTATGCGCAGGCATGTTGCTACTATTGATTTGCTTGTTAGCTCTCCTTCCACAAAAAGTGGTCATTGCTTTTTTGTGCTTTCTCCTTTCACTTGTTTTAAACTTACATTTCAAGTAAACATTATGTCTAACTGAAAAAGAATATGAAACTACAGTCATAAAGAATTGAATTATACAGTAGTGCCTCACAGACAGTGCCCTGGCATCTGAGGATTTGTAGAATGAACAAAGTTAAAATAGGACATAGGTTCTGATTTCAATTCTCTGGCTTTGTCTTTAGGTCATTGGCATGCATTTTATATGAGATGTGCTGCATGAATCATGCATTCACAGGCTCCAATTTCTTATCCATCGTTTTGAAAATTGTTGAAGGCAACACACCTTCTCTCCCTGAGAGATACCCAAGGGAACTAAATGCCATCATGGAAAGGTACAGAAAATGAATACGTGGTCACTAATGCTGTTTTAGATTGTGCGTGTATTTTAGCTCATGTGAAAACGCATTTTCTCTTTAAACATTGCAGCATGTTGAACAAGAGTCCCGCATTGAGACCATCTGCTATAGAGATCTTAAAAGTCCCTTACATTGATGAACAACTACAGGTATTTAAAATGAAACAAATATTGGGAAATAAGTATTAGCATGTATATGTTGTTGTTGTTGTTGTTAAGTACCGTGGAGTCGGTTCTGACTCATAGCAACCCTGTACAGTGAGTCATAGCAACCCTGTACAGGGTTTCTGAAGCTATAAATCTTTACGGGAGCAGAACGCCTCGTCTTTCCCCCCCGTGGAACCGCTGGTGGTTTAGAACTGCTGATCTTGCGGTTCACAGCCTGATTCGTAACCACTATGCTACCAGAGCTCCTAGCATGTGTATACGCATTCTATAACTTGAAGAGATGCTGTTGGTAATAAGAAGCACTAAAAATCAAGAAGGAGAAGCAAGACTAAAAAGAAGCTGAGGGAAGTAGTAGTCACAACAACCTCTGTGCCAAAGAAGAGTGTAATCTCCGGTTCCCTGGTGCCACTTAGATATAAGAAGTTAAGGTTGTGATTTTGTGCTTAAACTCAACATCTAATCTTAGAGCTCTTGGTTAACCGATCCTATCTCAACTCTTTATAAATATATCACAAGAATGTGCTACAACTAATAATACTAAAATCTGGGATTTTCACTGAGCATACTCATTATGTATTTCAAGAACATAAATGTATTTTTAACGCTTTTATTGTGACTTGAAAGGAGCTCTGGTAGCATAGTGGTTACGAATCGGGCTGATAAGCTCACAGTCATTAGTACGAAACTACCAGCCATTCCCATGGGAGAAAGATGAGGCTTTCTGCTCCTGTAAACATTTACAGCCTTGGAAACCCTATGCAGGGTCACTGAATTGAACTGACTCCATGGCACATAACAACAGCAATTGTGAATTGAGTGATAGTTTACATGGGAGAACATTGGTTTTGCACTCATCCTATTATATTTTATTTCATTTCAATGATTACAATCCCCTCCGTGCATCCATTCAACAGTATTTGCTTCTATTCATTCTGGGTTTTTGTTTGTTTGTTTGTTTCCTTTTATACTCAAAAACCACTCAGGAATATATAACCATTTAAGCAACCAAAAGGGCACATTCTGCAAGCCTGCCTCCTGGTTGCCAGCCTGTGTCTTTCCATGAGTCTGGAATCTTCAGCTGCTCTATCTTTCCATGTCATTATCTCTGCCTTCAAGAATATTTTTTATTGAACTTCTTGTTGTTGAATACCGCCAAGTCAGATAGGTGCGTGTATTTTACTGTAGAGTAGGAAATTTGATATAGGGAATCTTCTGAGATGGCACGAAAAAAACAAATGGTCCCCTCTCAGAAAAGTTTCATGTCTGGTTTGTTGTTGTTGTTGTTAGTCTTTTATGACACAACTCCTTCAGAAGGGAAATATCCATTAATTTACTGAATAGCTTTAAGAAGAACCACAAAGTGTCCATTCACCTTAAAAAATTCCTATGTCTTTTCATTAGCCGGTCAAGTCCTAAATCTAAGGAAAACCAGGATGATGGTTTGCATTTCCTAGGTCAGTGATAGGCTTTTTGTTGTTGTTAGATGTCTTTGAGTCAGTTCCAACTCACAGTGATCCTGTGTATAACAGAATAAAACATTGAGCAGCCCTGTGCCAGCCTCACAGTCATTCCCTGTTTGAGCCCATTGGTGCATTCACTGTGTTTGTTGAATGCCTTCCAGGCTCGGGAGCTCATCTCCCAGCACTGTAGCAGTGTTTCACTGCTAGTCCTGAACTTTTCACTGGTTAATATTTTCAGAAGATTAGCTAGCCAGGTCCTTCTTCTTAGTCTTTCTTAGTCTGGAAGCTCCGTTGAAACATGTCTACCATGGGTGACCCTACTGGTATGTGAAATAACAGTGGCATAGCTTTCAGCATCACAGCAACAAGCAAGCCACCACAGTATGACACACTGGCAGGTGAGTGGTGGCCATGGCAGGAAAGAGTGCCAACATGAATTCTAGTGCCCTTGAGTGCTACTGGGAGAGTCCAGTTCCCTTTTAGTTGATTGTGCACTTAATGATTTGTGGCACCCAGGGTTGTACTGAATGACTCCAACACATAAATAGTTACCAATGATCACAAGCACTAGGAAGAAAGTAAACAGGCTGCTGTAAGAATAAAGGAGGGGGAGAGGTCTTGCTGGTGAAAGGAGTAGATGATGATATTGAAACATCATTGAGGCAGATGAGAAGCAGCCAGCCATTGGAAGAGCTTACAAATGTATGAAACACAGGGAATAGTTAGTGCCAAGACCCTGAATGAGCTCATGTCTCCTGGAGGTAGACACAGACAAGAGTGTCCTCCCAGGGGAATTGAGCGAGTCAGTGGGTGAAGCAAAGCAGAAGGGGGGCGTGTAAATTCCTTGATACGGGTAGCCTTCCAAAAATACCAGCAATGTGGATGCCGGTAGCCCAAGGAAAGGCCTCTGAAAAAAAGGAGGTGCAGATATCAAAGCCACACTGAAATAGGTATACACAAAACATCAAAGGGGACCCAAGAGGATCTGCTGGGGCTGGCTGAAGGGCCTAAATCACCCACCCTATATACAAAATGTAAGAGGATACAAAAAAAAAAAAAAAATCCAAAAAGCAAAAAGCACCCAGTAATCAAGAAAAATAATATGTTAATGTAATTTTTTTTTAAAAATAATTCCTAAAATCCATGATGAACAAAATATCAAAACTGTTAAAAAAAAAAGGTAAGATCCTACAGGGCTAAGATTAGGGTGAGACACATGAGGTAGAATTGTGCAAGTTATGGGTGGGATCCTGTCTTTATTTAAACTGTTGTTGTTGTTGATGATGATGATGGATTTTGGAGCACTACTGGTATGGTGTTGTAGGATCAGCACTGGACTGTGAACCATTAGGTTGGTGTTTCAAACCCACTAGGTGCCCCTCAGAAGCCCTATACAGGGTCGCTATGAGTCAGAACTGATCTAAAGCACTTAATAACAACAACTACATAGATTTTTGGCATTAACTTTGATCTTTTATAATAGTACATTAAAACATTACTTATCCTGGATATTGAGATTTTTGGTGGCTCCTTTTGTTTTGTTCCTGCAGTCCGTGCCTCATTTGCCTCACTCTCATCTGGTCCCTGGAAACCAGAGGGCATTATCCATGACAGAAAGGAGCTTGTATCTTCTTTGTTGTTGTTATTAAGTGTTGTTGAGTCAGTTACTGACCCATAGCAACCCTGTATAGGGTTTCCAAGGAATGGCTGGTGAGCTTCAACCCCCGACCTTGTGGTTCAAATGACTTTGCAGTTCATCGCATTAACCCCTAGCCCCAAACCAGTACTCCATGTTTTCTTGGAGCAGGAGAAAAACCACTTCATGGCTGAGTAACAGGGAGGAAGAGACAAAACTGTACAAGATGAAGCTGGAGCGGCCAACAGGAGTCTGACCCAATAGGATCTTATTACATAAGCTACCATGTAATTGTATGTAACCCTTTCATAAAGGGAAAGCTAGTTACCCAGGACTTGGTTCTCAGGTCCCTCTGCCATAGTCATTAATACTATAAATCAGAAAATAAACTCAATAGTTTTATGCCTCTTCATCCTTAAGGTTTGTCAGGATTGTTGTTCTGGTTTTTCAGCACCTGATGTGTAGATATTCGGAAATGACTCTGGAAGACAAGAATTTGAATTGTCAGAAGGAGGCTGCTCATATAATTAATGCCGTGTAAGTAATTGCTTTGTTTTTAAAAAGCCCATGGAGCGTAAATGTTAAATGCATTTGTCTTTAAAAATCTATTAGAGCTAAGCTAACTGCATGAAGTTTCCTAGAATTCACTTAAGCCTTGCCAAGAAATTAAGGAGCTTCAGTAACTTTGAGTTCTAAAGCCCTTTGCCCCAGGTGGTAGCAAATTGAAGTCATAAAAGTTTAAACCAATGCATAGCTTACAGATCTGCAGGGGAGCACTGCAAATTTCCTTGTAAGTATATGGAGAAATGAATATCTCAGACATTTAGTGATATTTATGATAATGAGCCTTCCATATTAAGCATAAATGGCTTGCACGTGTTTGTTTAATAGGACCTGGCAGAATATCTATTTAAAAGAGAATATTGCAGAGTCCTGCGGAAAGAGCCATACTATACTTTCTTGAGATACACATCCTGTTACATAAGACGTAGAGAATGTGTATGTCCTAAGGAGCCATAATACTTACTTGGTTTAATCCTTTTTTCCTACCTTATTCAAAAATTTTGTGCTGTAACTTGTAAGAGCCCAAAATACTGCAACATGATAGATAGGTCACTTGAGAACAGCCATGGACAACTGTCCTGACAGCACTTCATGACCCCACTTATAAATACCAAATCTATGATTTTGTTGAAGGAACTCTATTTAATCGTACAGAGACCCAATGAGAATGGTAGTTGTCTCCCAAGATCTGTGTAAGGCAGTGGGGTGAGCTCATGAGCCTTCGATAGGCTAATCTTCAAAGCCAAATAGCACAAATGTGCTTCTCCACTATACCAGTTTGTTTTCCGTCTTCACTTTCAAACTCAGGAAACCAGTCAGAAATTTGTCTCTTTTGAAGATTTCTGACTTCCCTATAAAGACAACACATCAGCAGGCTTTTGGGAGTGTGAATTCATACCGTGAAACTCATTTCACGGGGACCAGTGATAGAAATGGGTGCCACGTCCCTGGTCTTCAGGATTTTTAGAGAAACCAGGGGTCTCATAGATGCAGGACCTCCACTCCTTCACTTCTGGATGTGTGGAATAGTCACAGGGGAAAGTCCTGGCTGGTGTCTCCCTCTGAGATTATATGTGATATTGGCCTTTGACTATGTGGGGTTTCCATCTTGCATATCAAATACAATTGTGTCTCCTCTTTTACACTAATCATTGCACGCAAATTCGAGACTACAGTTGTTTTTGCTTTGGCTTACTATTTGTGCAAGGATGTTTGTTGATTTCCCATATAACTGGATCCATGAGTGTCACCAGGCATGTTGTTGCATTGCTGTGGTCTGCCTTTCAGTCATGGTACTGGGACAGTCATGTTTCCCTCCACATGAACTTTGCATTTGTTACAGTGTATATGTTTTGATTCCTAGAAAATTGGTCAGTATATTCATGCTTCCGGAAGAGTGAGATTACATGAATCAATAAAAAAGAAAAGATAATTTTTAGTATTTCCCATTTTATGTCCTCCGAAATCCTTTATTCAGGTGGTTAAGAAGACAGGCTTTAATGGTTTTCTTCTCTCCATGTCCTTTGATATCACCACCATTCCTTTCACACAGTGATTCCTTTGTTGGAAATAATGGCCCCTTACTCCCAGGAGCCGGGTTTTATCCGGGTTATGATAAAATAGTTCATGTCATCCCCAAGCATACTTTTGCAGAAAGTTCTACAAATTAGCCCTGCATGCCTACGCAGTACACAAACACCCTCCATACAGCCTGGACCAAACTTTCACTTTGATGGCCACAAGGTTTGGTGGAACCCAGACTTGATATGATAGCAAAATGCTGGGTTTGAGGACCCCCTGGAGCCCAGGTCTGTGATAAATCTGGTCTTCAAAGTTGGAAGACCTAGAGAGTAGACCTGGGGCTTCATGGATAGAGCCACAGCCTTACAGGTAGAAGTCCCTGGAGGTGTCAGGTCCTGACACTTACAGACAACCTGGGATCAATATTAACCAGACCAAAGGCTTGGACTTTTAAATTTGAAATCAGTCGGACAGGACCTGAACCATCAAAGATCTTCTGCACTCCTGTTAAAACACGCTGCCCCTCAGAGGATCATATGTAGGTGTGTCTCTAATAACCTCATTTTTCTGGGGAAAAAAAGCCTGGAATTATTTACTTCATTTTATGTTATCTGAGAGTAGTAGATATCTTATTTTTTAAATTCAGGATGAATGTTCGTTATCGTTTTTACACAATAGTTGTGAACCGCTTTGCCTGACACTGTTTACAGTGAGCAGGTGCTAGAATGCAGTTATTGTAGGGCATTTCATACTATGAAATAATTGGTTTAAAGTAGTCACTCTTATTTTCAAGATCTAGGACTTTGTCTTTAAGGAGATCTATTTATTCTTACAAAACAAGGAATACGTGTTCCTGAAAATTGTACAACGCCCTGGAGGCTTTATAGGGATGAGAACTTCCTAAAATGGTCATTACAATTTTCTCATAGTGTTTATTAAGGAGATAGTGGAATATGAAAGGCATTCTACTGTATGTATTAGGACCTCACCAAGTCTGGAGCAGTAACAAATGTTTCTGAGAATGTAGTTGCAACCTTTCAGTGCATTATTAATTTATAGTCACATTTCTTTAACTGAAGAAAAGAAGTTTTAAAATAATAATGTTGGCTGACATTATTTTTGGATGAAGACCATATGCCTGATTCTGTTATAAACACTTTGTCTGAATTAACCCATATAAACTCACAACAACCTAAAAAGTACGTAACATTTTTTTTTTTCATGGTCATCGAGAGGTTATGTAACTTGCCCAAAGGCTTGTAGCATTGGAGATCGGATTTGACCATTGCTAACCTGTACCATTAACCACTATCCCAGGCTGTCAGGAAAAAAATAGCTACTGTATAAAATATATTCAGTACAGTTTTTCTAGAATATTACCATTTTGGATGTTTTTTACATCTCAGATACTATACATGTTTGCCCCTCTTTTATGGGTGAGAAAACTGAGGTTCAGTGTAACTTACCCACAGCTGCAGAAGTAAAGCACAGTGGAGATAGAATTCAAACCTGCCTGTCAGTCTTCAAAGGCTGTGTCCTTATCCTCATGGTTGAATTACTCTGCAAGTCAACATACTTGTTCATTTTAGCTCATTTGTCTTACATTATGAAAACCAGTCATACACAATGAAATAAGCAGAAATTTGGAAAGTACATAATTTGCTTTTAAACAGAAATCTAATTTGAAGAATATTGCCGATTAACTAGAGCCTGGGTTGGCTCATTACCTACCCAGAGCTTATTAGTTTTTATGTTTTTTTGTGTTTTTTTTTTGCTTGGCTGTCTTGAGATGTTTTTCCTCTCTCGTTCATGTAATAATACATCTGTAAAATATTTGTCTAATTTTTCTGAGCATGTTTGGGATGGATTGTGTGCAAACAATCTTTATAATTGACAGGAAACAAAAGGTCCACCTGCAGACTCTGCAGGCGCTGTCGGAAGTGCAGAGCATGACGCCGAGAGAAAGGATGAGACTGAGGAAGCTCCAGGCCTCAGATGAGAAGGCCAGGAAGCTGAAGTAAGCTGCCTTTCCTCTGGGCACCCCACCCCCCAGGCTAGCTCCCAGGGCTCTAAAGAGATGTACTAAAGAAAAGCAGAAACCAATCCAAGAAATCAAAATGAATACACTTATGTGTTTATTTGTTTCTTCATTTACTTACCTACCCACCCCTTCTATCCATACCCAGTTATTGAGCCATAGATGGTTATTGGATGCCAGACACTATTAGTGTCTTGTGTGAAGGGAAAAATTGACTATAAGGGTTGCCTTCGTATTTCCCCAGAAAGAGGCTTTGCTACTGCAGTGTCATTGTCTGGGGGGGCTTGCTGCCCTCCCCAGCACGTGCCCCTGCACACACACTTCCCAGGAGGCTCCGCTGATCTATGGGGAGAAGAGTGTACTGAGGAAATTGTTGGCTTGAAGGAGGAGACTGAAAACAGTGCTCTGCTCTGTCAACAGAAGCTTTTGAAAAGTCTGCTCTCAGGGCAATGCTGTTAGTGGGAGATATCCCTGGTAATTAGAGTATTTACATGAAGAAGTGACATTCCAAAGAGCCTCAGACTCTGTTTCTCAGACTGTTTTTGGTTGGTATGTTTTCTGGTTTTCCAATTTTTCTTCTTCCTCCTTCCCCTGCCAACTTTTTTTTGTACCTTAGAAGCCACAGTCAAGAACCAGAGCTATGGAAAAGACGTAAAACTCAAATCTGTTTGTTTTCTAACCTTGTTCACGTATCTGAAAAATGATTTAGAGGTGTCGGTGCACTTAGAGTGAATATTATATCATAATGAACCAAGTAAAAATTGAGGAGACTATTTTCCCCTGGTGAACCTGGTGACTCCGTATGATAAGCACTGGGTTGTGAACCACAAGGTCCAAGGTTTGAGCCCGCCAGCCACTCCACTGGAGAAAGATGAGACTTCCTGCTCCTGAGAATATATGTAAGTCATGTCTTGGAAACCCTGTACAGGCTCACTAAGAGTTGGAACTGACTCAGCGGCACTTAACAATAATAATTTTCCCTTAACATGTGTTTTCTGTAATAAATGTAGGAAAAGATCCTCATCAAAATGCATTGCTGTGTACCAGTTGTGTGCTGGTAAATGTGTACCAGTCAGCTCTGGAGTTAGTTCAGAAGTTAGTTTCTTGACTGGTAATTAGACTTGGAGTACATCTCACCACATCCAGTTCTAAGCTACAATATGGTACCATTGAATGTGCAGTTGGGAAGTGATGTACACGGCCCACTCTAGGGGGCCAATATGAGTGGGTTTCAGCCAATTACTGAGCATGAGTTTTCCTGAGAAAAGAGGAAAAATTGCCTGTGCCATTGCATTAACTTTCAATCTCTATTGTGTTCAGTTCCCAAATCTGTTTCTAACTTTTCAGAAATGGCAATATTTCCAGGGCACCATGATACATGTCATTGTTTGAACATAAATAGAACCTTAAATCTCTGATACAAAGAGATAAAAAATAATTTAATAATCTACATGTACAGTGGTGTAGCACTGTAAGGCAAGCACTAGACTATTAACAAAAAGGTCAATAATTTAAACCCACCAGCTGCTCCACTGGAAAAATACGAGGCTGTCTGCATCTGTAAAGATTTGCAATATCAGAAACCCTATACAGGATCACTATAAGTTGAAATCCAGAAAGGGTTATTGACTTACTAGTTAGTACATGTCAGATCCTGTGTCAGGCACCAGGGACACACCCCTGTCATCACTCAGAGAACACACAAGGATCAATACTGATTACTACTCTGCTGCATTTTAGGAGTTCCAGTGATGACCAAGGAGTCAGAGTACCCTGTGTATGCTCTAAAGAGAATTGAGTGGGTGCTGCATAGCATGCATCTTGACGAGGAGGGACCATTGGCATGGCTCCCCAGCACCCCATGTGCCTGCTGAAACAGAGATCATATCATATAGATATGGTTTTAGAAAGTTGGAGTTATTTTTTGCATTCACTTTGCATTTGCAGAAAGCTTGTAGAAGAAAAATACAAAGAGAATAACAAACGGATGCAAGAGTTGCGATCTCAGAACTTTCAGCAACCATGTGTTAATGTACTCCATGTAAGTGCCACACTTTTTTAATTTAAAATTTAACATTTTACCTAAAACTGTTTCTTGCTTCAGATTCTTCAAATTCATGGGGCCAGGTAGGTAGGAAGAGGAACAAGGTAGGAAAAAAAAGAAGCCAGACCAATGTTACCCAATTCCTGGAAGGCTCTTCTGGGATAGAGGTCAAGGGTTAGTAACAACACTAATTCAAAGCAGCTGATCCCAGAGAGCTATCAGTTCATTTATCCAGTGCCTACTGTGTGCAAGATACTCCCCACTGAAGGCTTAGTTGAGGTGCTAAAATTAGAATTTTGTAGAACAATTATGTGTATTTCTAATTTTGAATCCGTTCATGCTATTGTTGCTTTATGTTCTAGAACACTTTTTCCCTTTTTGAGTACCTTTTTTTTTTTTTTTTCCTGTCTGTAACCCATATCATTGTACATTGTGTTAATTTAAAACAACAAACAAAGCCTGTTGCCATTGAGTCGGTTCCAACTCATGATGAGCCCATGTGTATCAGAGTAGAACTGCTGCGTGGGGTTTGCTTCCATGACACCTCTCAGTGGGTTCAAACTACCAGCCTATAGGCTAGTTGTTGTTGTTTTTGTTGAGTGCCATCAAGTCAGTTCTGACTCATAACAATCCTATACAGGGTTTCCTAGGAGCAGCTGGTTGGCTTCAGCTGCCAACCTTGTGGTTCACAGCCCAGTGCTGATCCTACAGCGCAACACCAAGAGCAAATGGTTTATGCTACCTACGGATCTGTTAATAACTTTATTCAAACCTTGAAGAACTATTATGTTGTTGCTATTGTCAAGTGCCGTGGAGTCAGTTCTGATTCATAACAACTCTGTATAGGGTTCCCAAGGAGCAACTGATGGGTTTGAAACACCAACCTTACGGTTAGCAGTCCAGTGCTTATCTTACAACACCATAACTAATGGGATCGGAGGTGGGTCCCAAATTTTATGTCCTCTGCCTCCTAAAACTCTAAAAAGCAGATATCATTTTCTTTAAGGGTTAAAAATATCTCCATAGGCCTCTGGGCAGACTCCACACCTACAGTAGTCTTGATCCAGGGACTATTTGAATCAAGTCCCAACACCAACTTCATTAGCACTTCTGATAAAAACAACTTGGGATAGGTTCTCGTTCTTTCCTCAGTGTATACATCTTTAACCAGATTATAATTATGTCATTCTTTTTATTTAAGGGTCGTATTATATATATGGGAGCATGGTGGCTCCATGTGGTAAGCACTGGATTGGGAACCACAAGATCCTCAGTTGAAGCCTGCCAGCCACTGTGCAGGAGAAAGATGGGACTTTCTGCCCCCACAAAGATTTTAAAAGCCTTAGAAACCCTCTACAGGGTCTCTATGACCTACTTGATGACACTTAACAACAACAACAGCAAAGCGACTGGTGGGTTTGCACTGCCAACCTTGCAGTTCAAGCATATCCTATAGCATCACACCAGGACACAATTAGAAGTTTATATGTATTTGAGTTTATATATTACTATTTATGTACATATATAACAACTATTGTTATTTGGCTAAAATTTTTTAGAGCAAATTAGTCTTCCATTCAACTGCTCATACACAGTATATTTCATGATAAATCCCGGTATTCTAACAGCATTCTTCCCACATCTTTCCTGTACTTTTGTTTTCCTTCGTCCTTCTTTCCTATTCTGTACTGCCTTCTGAGTTTTATCCTTGGGAAATTGCTGCCCTTTGGATCTTGTGTGGTGGTTTGTTTTAAAGAGTGTACACCTCTCTGGTTCACCTTAAAGACCTGTCTGGTGTTTTCCTGATAGTTGACCCATTGGTTTGAAGTCAGTTTCAGGTTTGAAGGGTGTTTAAGGACCATTGCCTTGGGTTCCACCAGTCTCTATTGGATCAGTAAGCCTGGTCTTTTTAAAAGCTTTGTTCCACATTGTTCTCCCATACTTTCTAGGACCTTCTATTTTGATCCCTTTCAGAGTGGTTGTTTCAGAGTTTTTGTTCTTCTGATCCAGGATCTTGGAGGTGGGGTGAGTTCATGTTCATGGAGAGCTTTTACTGCCTCTAAATGTGGCTGTTTATTTATTGGCGCTCCCTTCATCTCAGGAGATTTTTATCTTTTGCCAGAAGAATCAAGCCCTGAGAACCAAGGGGCTTTGGGGATGATCCCTGGAAGCCTGGGGAGGCCAATTATATTGTAGATCAGGTTTCAAAATCTGGAGAATTCAGGAGTCCCCCAACAAAGCTCAAAGCTCAAATTTTCTACAAGACAGAGCTTAAAAACACTTGTTTCATCTCCATCCCCGCCAGAAAGGAGAAAGCTTCCTATAATCGGCCTTTCTTAATTATTTATGGGCTATAAGTATTTTGGAGTCCTGGTGTGGTGGTATTGTTGTTGTTAAGCACCGTGGAGTCGGTTCCTACTCATAGTGACCCTGCAAGGGGCTTCCGAGGCTGTAAATCTTTACGGGAGCAGAAGTGTGTTAATGCAGTGGATTGCAAGGTTGGTTTGAACCGCAGGGTTGGTGGTTCAACCTTACCAGCCACTCCTTGGAAATCCTATACAGGGTCGTTATGAGTCTGAACTGACGCAACGCACTTAACAACAACAGTAAGTATTTTGGGCTCCTGGTGTGGCACTGTAGGATCAGCCCTGGACTGCAAACCACAGGGTTGGTTGTTGAAGTTAACCAGCTGTTCTTCAGAAACCCTGTACAAAGTCGCTATGAGTTGGAATTGACTCAACAGCACGTAACAACAACATAGATACTTCGGAGCTCTGAAAATTCACATTGGATCAGAGAGAGCCCCCAGACTCCTTTTGCCTTAAGAGTTTCCCTCTGCTTGCTTACACCGTTAGCAGACAGTGTGTGGATATTGGTGGTACTTGCTCAATGCCACCCTCTTATCTACCCAGCTGTGGGATCTGTTCTAGGCCCCAGAGACGTGGAGGATGGTGAAAAGCTTGTAAGCTTTGGGGGCCAAACATGTGTCTGAACCCTACTCTGAAAATGGTCTTCATGCTATTGCCTCTGTGTGGAAGAACCCATGCCTCCTCTGAAAACTGAGCACTTTTCTTCAGTTTTCCAATTACTTTCTGGACCCTGAAAAACATGGCTTGTGAAATGATACTGTCTTCACCAGTTTACCAACTTTCTTCCCCACAGGACTCAGAACTGCGGATTCTCACAGAACCTGATACACAATCTGGCATTATTATAATTCATAAATCCATCACAAAATGACAAATATTATATGGTTCCACT